TGTGGCTCAAGTGGTAGAGTGCTTGCCTTGAGCTGAAGAGCTGAGGGATAGCGCCCAGGCCCACAGTTCAAGCACCAGGACCAACAAAACAAACAAAGACCTCCTTTTGTTTCTGTTTTATCTTTCTTTTCCTTTTGTTTTTATCTTTTTTTATTGTGAAAATACCATGCAGAGGGGTTACAATTACATGGGCAAGGTAATGAGTATATTTCTTATCAAGCATTGTTGCCTCCTCCTTTGTTTCCCCTTCCCATCCCTTCCCATCTCCCACCCCGCCACACCCCCACACCTCCTCACCTCTGGCCAAAGTTGTAAAGTTCATTTTTCGACTTAATGACTTGTACATCTCATTATTGCAATGGGTCCACCTGTATCCCTATTTAAACGGTTTGTTTTTGCCCTTCCCCTCCACAAATTATACCAGCATCAAATACAATGAAAGCAGGGGTTATACCATGGGGGAGGGACATACAAAACAACAAAGAAATCATCTTATAAATATGTTAGAAACAATCACAAGAAAGTAAAAACATGTGAATACTTATCTCAGGGTTAATTACACCTAACATCAACTTATCTGACCTTTTCTGCTTGTCTCAGACATATACTAGTTATTGCAAATAAGGGAAACCATGGCACCTATGCATTGTGAAAATGGCAATACTTCCCAAGGCTATCTACAAATTCGGTGCGATACCTATCAACATTCCAACCTCATTCTTCAGGGAAATAGAAGAGGCAATCCAAATATTCATATGGAACAATAAAAGACGCCGAATAGCAAAAACAATCCTCAACAGAAAGAACAGAGCTGGAGGAATATCAATACCAAATTTCAAACTCTACTACAAACTATAGTAAGAAAAAACAGCTTAGTACAGGCACAAGAACAGACCTGAGGACCAAAGGAATAGAATTGAAAACCCAGAAATGAAACTACAGACATATAGCCATCTAATCTTCAATAAGGGAGCTAAAAAATAGAATGGAAGAAAGACAGCCTCTTCAGTAAATGGTGCTGGCAAAACTGGTTAATCACTTGTAGAAAACTAAAGCTAGTTCCTTATATATCACCCTACACCAGAATCAATTCCAATGGATCAAAGTCCTTGGAGTCAAAGCAGACATTCTGAAAACATTACAGGATGGAATAGGAGAAACCCTAGGCCTCCATGGCACAGGCCGAGATTTTCTTAATAGAGACCAGAAACACAACAAATCAAAGAAATGTTGGACAAATGTGATTGCATGAAATTGCAGAGCTTCTGAGTGTATTTCTTATCAAGCGTTGTTGCCTCCTCCTTTGTTTCCCCTTCCCATCTCTTCTCACCCCCCCATCCCTTCCCCCCACCCCTGCACCAAAGTTGTAAAGTTTGTTTTTCGACATAACATCTTGTACATCTCCTTGTTGCAATGGGTCCACCTGTATCTCTATTTAAACAATTTGTTTTTCCCTTCCCCTCCACAAATTTACCAACATCAAATACAGTGAAAACAGGGGTTATACCATGGGGAAGGAACATACGAAGCAACAAAGAAATATCTTATAAATAAGCTAGAAACAATAGCAAGAAACAAAAAAGACATTTGAGTCCTCATCTTGCGGTTCATTTCGCCTAACATCAACTTATCTGACCATTTCTGCTTGTCTCAGACATATACTAGTTATTGTTTTCCATTTCCTAACAAAAGGGGCAATGTCATTCTTTCTGATGGAGGCATAGAATTCCATTGTGTTGGTGGGAGTGTAAACTTGTTCAGCCACTTTGGAAAGTAGAATGGAGGTTCCTCAAAAAACTCCACATAGAGCTCTCCTATGACCCAGCAATCCCACTTTTGAGTATTTACCTAAATGATCACAAGCAAAACCATGCTAAAGCTACCAGCACAACTATGCAGCATTATTTACCATAGCTAAGATATAGAACCAACCCAGATGCCCCTCTGTAGATGTTTTTATCTTGTATGGAGCTAAATATCTCAAGATAATATGCACTTAGTTAATGACTTCTAATTTCCATTTTGAATGTCCCTAAAAATTGTCAAAGATACAAAAGGATATTAAAGTCCTAAATATCTCAAAATGAATTAGGTTTTAATGATTTTAAAATCTGAATTTCATGGCTTTAAAAATTAATTTGCATTTCTTTTATGGCTAGGGAGGCTGATCATTTCTTCATGTGTCTATAGGCCATCCTTCTTTCCTCTTCAGAGAAGTTTCTCTGTAAGTCTTTAGCCCACTTATTTATTGGTCAGTTGTTTCTTTGAGGATTTGTTGTTGGAGGATTTAATATTTTGAGTTCCAGGTATATTTTAGATATGAGACCCTTGCCCTTGTATGGCTAGTGAAGATCTTCTCCCAATCAGTGGGCTTTCTATTGATCTTGATAGCTATGTCCTTTGCCATGCAGAAGCTCTGCAAGTTCCTATTGAGCATTGTTACCCCCTCCTTTGTTTTCTCTTACTAACCCTTCCCTTCTTACCTCCTCCCCCCTCTCCTGCCCCAAAGTTGTAAAGTTGGTTTTCCACATAGTGTCTTGTATGTCTCATTGTTACAATGGGTCAACCTGTATCCTTGTTTCAGCATTTTGTTATTTCCCTTCCCCTTCTCAAGTTAGAAAAATGTATATACAAGATGCAGGGCACTGGAATGCTTGCCTCATTTTCATCATTCAATCCCTATGATGGACCCTTTGACTGATCACCATGTTGTTGGTATCACATCAATCAGTGCTATGTGAGTTGAATAATCCAATTTGAAACTATACCAGACTAAAAATAAAATGACATATGGTGAGAAAGGAATGATAATGGCATTTTTGCATTAATAACAATGTGAACCATTCTACTGTCCTTTTATCTGTAGACTTTGCTCCTTCAGAAAATCAGGAAAACCACTAGAAGCCTATGATCAGCCTCTGCCAGTTTGGCGTGGTTGGGAGCAAATCAGCAGAGACCTAAACAAGGTGGGGGGGAAATGTAAGCACCAATGTCTTAGCTGGCAAAAGCATCAAAAAAATGTTGATCAGGAAAACATCTCTAGCAGATACAAACAGGAGTCAGGAAAGATCTCATGAATCAATTCATTTTGCCTGTTACGATCAGTCTACCATGAACAAGTCTCCTTGCTTGTATTTTATTTATACAGTATGGGATTATTTTAAAAAGAGAATAGTTTGGACTCTAGATTGCACTGTCAAAAATGTAGATTCTCTAAAGACAGCTTTAAGATTTAACCAGAGAAGCCAGGCGCTGGTGGCTCACACCAGTAATCCTAGCTAGCCAAAAGACTGAAATCTGTCAAAGCCAGCTGGGACAGAAAAGTCCCCATGAGACTCTTATCTCAAACAACTCAAAAGCCAGAAGTGGCTCTGTGGCTCAAGTAGTAGAGTGCTAGTTTTGAGTCCAAAGAGATCCAGGGACAGTGCCCTGAGTTCAAGCCCCAGGACTAGCAAAAAACAAAAAAACAAGAAAAAAAGATTCACCAGAGGAAGAAAGCCCTCTGACATGTAAAATGGATGGGCAGTGGAACATGATGGGTAAGGTGTCTTCACTGAGAAAAGAAGCAGGAAATAACTCTAGCTCATTTTCCTTCACATTTCCTTCACATTTCTCAGTAGAGGATACATTTTATCCAACTTAGAACTTTAAGTATAAAAAAAACACTTGGATAATTCCATCCTAAACACATAATAAACTTGTGAAACTAAGTTGGCACAAGTTGGTTTGGTTTAGTCATTCACAATCTTAACTGCTGAATGACCCAATAAATATCACTACTGGTTTATCTCCATAGGTGAAAATATATAAAGAAAACATTTATCCTTAAAAACAAACAATAGATGAGTGGCTTTGGCATATTCAGTCAATTTTTTTGTAGTGTGCAGAGAAAGATCACAGTGATCCAACTCACACTATCAAATATAGACAAGTGCATTTGACCTGAGGACCATTCTGTCTGCATCAGAAACTTATTTTCAACCAAAATTCTTTATAGATTTAATGTAGTCTCAATGTTTCCATGTTCTCATGCTATAATTATAACAAAAAATAGTATTCATTTATTTTTTTCCCAAGTAATTGATCTCTATAACACAATGGACAAATCACAATGTCAGTCTATAAGAGCAGGGGCAGACATTATCTACCTGTGAAAATTAAATTCCAGTTAGGGTACATGATTAGAATGTAATATAGATCCAATAAATTATTTTAAGTTAACAGATGCTCAAATGAGAAGAGAAAAGATAAGGAAGGTATATTTATTTGGAAAATGTTGCAAATTTAGATGCAGAATGTTACTGGATTTTAGGCAACAAAAGACATTTATAGTAAATAAATAGCTGCTAATCAACTTCATATTGTGCAAATTTGACAATGTGAGTTTTTCCAAATTGATTTCAAATTTGTCTATCAGCCTCTGAAAGACTAAAGAAACATAATTTTCTTTGTGGAAATGAGACTCACTAGCAATTTGCAAAGTCTAAAGAAATACTGACACAATAAAAATGTTCAAACCTCTACCATAAACTTTAAAATATATTAGTAAATAGTCACTTCAATGAACAGAAGAGACTTTCCTTGGTAACTAGACAGTTCATCTTTTAAATGTATTCAGTTCCATGAGGTCAAATTACCATATATCTGAATTCAAAATTTGTATTGAGAAAGAACAATTATTCCTTAACACTTTGTAAAGTTAATCTTTCTGAAAAAATTAACTCAGGAAATGTTGCCTATTTGTAAAAAATATTGCCACCATATGTACATAGTAAAAGTCACAACAGAATATTCACATCTGGCTCTGCTCAGTCCATTCACCCTGAGTACCTACTGTGTGTCTAGCTCAGAGTCAGCTGGTAAGTCCTGTGCTATGAGGAACCATCAATCACCCTGTTTGCACTATGTGGTTAACATTTTCTACTGCTACTGAAATGAATACTGACCTCTTTACATGATTTATTTAAGTAAGTCAAAGAGTGTGGCCAATTCAGGATTACCTCACATTTATTTAGCAGCCCAGTTTCTTGTAGCCGTGACCAGATGCTCTGTATTCTTCCAGCGTGCTCTGGGTGGGTGGTGGAACTGCCACAAATGCACTGGTGCTTCAGCATCAGGGGATCATAGGCAATTCCTTCAAGACAAAAGAAGCACAGCCCAAGATTGAGTAATGATACAAGCTAGTCAAGATACTCCACAAAGCCATTCTTCCCAAAGTAAATTTCACAAAAAAGAGAAATAATCTGTATCACAAAGGTATCAGGTCCACCTAAGAGATAGCTAGTCACGTATACCTTCATCTTCATATATGTGAAAACCTTCAACTCATGGCATGACCAGAACCTAGATTTTAGTTTCCTGACCCTTCAAAGTAATATTAAAGGTGACAGTTAAAGAAATTTCATACACATTTATAAAAATATATATTGTATAAACTAATATTACTAGTGCATAAGATCATTCTGAATTGTTTCTTGGCAAATAATTCAGTAGACACTTACATTTTCTTGTCAAAGTCGCAAAATGAGATGTGTTTTTAAATCATGAATCTATTGAATGAGAATTTTTTTTGTGATTGAAAATGGTGTGGGTCATAAAGAGGCCCTAGAATGAATAAGCAAATTTAACAGTCATAATTTACATTAGGGATCAGTTCTTGGAATAAACTGGAAAAATTTCCAACTCCTTCCCTCTACTGTAATACAGATTCATCAAGGTTGCACAGAAAAGTTTCTTCTTGCTAACTTTTTTTTCCTTGTAATTTAGGCTGTTACATAAACATGGCTAGTGTTATTCTTACAATATTATGGCATACTTGAGCCAATTCTTTTTAAAATGTATGTCAAGGATGGAGGAGGAATTATCTGACAATAAAGGATGAAGCATATAATCATAAAGAATATAACCATGTATATATAAATGTATAACATAAGAAGCAAAGATAAAATTAAAAAGTAAATATAATTAATATGTAAAAATATACCACAAATTATTTCTGAATCAGGATATTTTTTAAAATTCAATAAATATAATTTTTCAAAATTTAGTAGAGGTTTCATAGATAATAAATAAAATCCACCATCAGAGCTTAGCTTGTCATGATTTAATTAGATCCTGCTATGGGAAAGAGTCTATGAGAGTTTGATGAAATGAATTATTAAGGGTGCATAAAATATGACTTTTTGAAGCAACAAGTTAGAGGACAATTATAACTCTGGAACATTTTAAGAGGCTTTCTACCCATAAGCCTATTCCTTGGGGAGAAACATGTTGCTTACAAAATTGTTTGGCATAAGAAATTATTGAACCTATCAAATCTCTGCCAATGAATGACTATCAGAGTAGATTTTTGGGGGAGGTGGGGGATCAGGAGAAATATACATGATAAGAAAAAAAAGACAAAAAATCAATTTAAGAGCAGATAAGTACCAGTAATTTATATTGCAAAGTAAGTTTAATTAAATAAATTTTCTTCTTCTTTTGGCTCACATTATTGTGTTAGAGGATTGTTGGGAGACTATTTTCCCTTGAGTGTGCTAAATTCATGCAGAAGAATGACATATGCATTTTGAAGCCATGTGGTAAAAATTATGTAAAAGACAAAAATAGTGTTTTATGGATCTAAATAATGTCCATTGTTAAGACTCAAATTACTTCAAAACCTGTCTTTTTGCCTGTCCTTGACCAACTAATATTTTCATCCTCAGTCTTGGCCTGTCTTCTGAGCAGCATACATGCACGCGTTATTCCTCAGTTGCCCTTCCAAACTTTCACGTAAGTATCTTATGGCTTTCATAAAGTGAGAACTGCACTCAGTTTTCCCCCTTTCACAAAGGACATCAGGATTCCTCATTACTCATGCCAGAAACGTTAGTGTCCTCTTGACATTTCCACTCCTAGAAACTAAGGGAGAGCCTGCTTCCCCTCCAAAACAGATATTGAATCATTCATTCCTTATCTCCACTGCCCAAAGCACATATAATCCCAAGAACCATTATCACTAATCTGAACTCCTGAAATAGCATTGTAACCAGCTACCTGACTTTCACTCCATTGCATTGGCCACACTGCATTAGCTACTTTTGCTTAAATACTTACGGGACTTTGCTGAGGAGATTGAAATGCCCCAAGGACAGCATAGCTACTGCCCTTGCCTACCTCTCCACCTTCACTACACATACCACCTGCCTTTATCTCTAGCACTCCTTCCTCCATTCCTCAAAAACATCAAAACCATTCCTCAAAAACATCAAAACCATGTCAGTGTTGCATCCTCATAACTCTGTTCCTTCTATTCCAGAAATTCTTCTGATCTCCATTACTCCAACCTTCATCCATATAATTTTTTCCTATTCTTCAAGACTACTTACTTATTTGTTTATGTGTTTGTATTAGAATACAGTAATTGTACAAATGGGTCGATCCATTGTGATACATTCACACACACACACACACACACACACACACACACACACACATATAATACCTATCAATCTTGCCCCCTCTGTAATTCCCCCTTACCCTTCTCCCTGCTTTCCAACACAAGCTCCATGGACCTCGTTCTTTAATTTACTTGCCTACAAACAAGATGTTTTAATCATATTCATCCTCATTTACCCTCCTCATTGACCCCACTCTATCCACACCCTTATCAGCCTATTTCTCCTTCCCAAACCTCCAACTTCCTGTTGATCAATAGCACTCACTGAGATTCTTTATGTTACACTCACATAATTGCAATGTCTTTTTAAATGTCACTTCTCCAACAAAGCATTTCTGAGACCACTAAACTACATCTTCTACTACTGTGTCTGATTTCTGAGCTTCCTCTAAATTTCCTCCAGAGCATCAATGACAATTTTATAATAGTTATAAAATTTTGTTACGTGTATTTTTTTTTTTACTTAGATGGTTAGATCTTTGAAAGCACTGATGATAATTCTATGGATTACTTTGAATTACCAGTCTGAAATCATGTTTGGAAAAAGGTTCTCTGAAAAGTCCTCTAAAGTATGGTGCAATGAATGAATTAAAGACACAAATATTTCCCTTACAAACTTGTCTGCTTTTCCTGCTGAATCTAATTTGTGCATTTTCTTGGCCCTAAAGTTTATGTTGTCTTTCCCCCTTAACATTCTACCTTCTCCTAGATATGCCTTTCTTCCAATGAACAAGTACCTCTACTATAGGTATTAAGTAAATTTAGACTTGTATTTCTACAACTATGTTACACAATGTCCACTTTTTCACTTTGTCCAAAATCTAATAGGATTTTTGCATAAAGTCAAATGGGTTGACATTTAAAAAGCCATAAATAAAATTCAGGGAAGCAAGCAGACATGGAGAATAATATTCAAAAGAAAAACTTACACAAATCTTAGATATCTTACACAGATGTGTTTTAACAGTTCAGATTTATCAAGCAATTATTAGTTGCTATTACATAAACAGGAGCAATTTAACAATTTAACTTTCAACTACAATTTCCAACCACAAAAATAATTGATATATTAACAATATGGAAACCAAAAGTTATCTGCCTATTTTGAATAATATTCAGGAGTATACATTTTGATTACTATTTGCTTATCTTTTTCAATTTCACCTCTAGATATGTCCACAATCACTTCCATTGTAATTTTTCCCCTTTAACAACATTTTCCCTCGAATTCACTGCCAAGAAACAGAAACTTGTGAAACAAGTTATGGTAGCTAGGAAGTATTGCCAGGTATCTGGAGATTATAATACAAAGTCCAGGAGCTCTTGGAAAGACATTCAAATTTAAGGAGAAATAAATAAAATCTGGAACCCCAAGCCTCCACTGACTCATCTTAATGATGTATCAATGAGGTGTTAACAGGTAGGCTGCAAGGTGAGACTTTAACCTCATTCTTCATCTCCATGCCTTACCTTTCTTTTTTTTCTTTAAAAACAGAAACTTATGGGGTGAGAAATAAGCCTGCTCTTCTCTTTGGGGTTCATATGGAATTCTACTTTGGTTTGACTCTTTCTCCCTGACTGATTACCACTTGCAATGCAAGTTGAGCAATGTTTATCTTGATTAATTAGACAAGATTTTAAGTTATGTAAAAGAATCTTAATATCTTTACCTGCATTTTAATCCTAATAGTATGTTTTAAAATAAAACCTTCCTGAGATGTTTAGATTGCTTTTTAGATGCATTTGGAATTTTGTGTTTGCTCTGGATTTCAGTTTTATTTAATGAGGTAGTATATTTGAAGGATTAAACTCGGTGTTTCTCTTCCTTAATCATTACATATAGGTAGGTCATTTGTTACTCATAAAAATCACTCCTACATGATTATACTAAGTCTATTGAGACCAGCTTGGTTCAGAAAGTTGAGTTCAGCATCTTTAGACAAAATACTCTAGCTCCTAACAATGAACAATCTCAACCATTTCTGATACATGAGAGTTACACTTTCCCAAGATGTTCATTAAACAAATGTAATAAACTATTTCTAGGACTTAGGAACTGGGACACAGAGGAACATAATGGCATTTCTCATCAAGGGCTTATATCTAATAGCCAGTTTTAATACTTGTATTTCAAGCCTTATTTTATCATGCCTAACTTATAATTTAGTAGTAGAAGTGACACATGCATGAAGAAATTATATGACAAATATTATATTTGATATGTGCTGGTCTTGGGGTTTGAACTCAGGGCCTGGGCTTTTGTGCTTAAGGCTGATGCTCTACCACGTTGAGCCACAAGCTCTATTTCCGGCTTTTTTGGAAGTTAGTCAGAGATCAGTCTCATGGACTTTCCTGTCTGGGCTGGCTTTGAACTTCAATCCACAGATTTTAGCCTCCTAAGTAGCTATGATTACTGACATGAGCCATCAGTGCCAGGCCTATGACAAGTTGTTTTTTGTTTTGGTGCTGGTCATGGGCACTGTCCCTGAGCTTCTTTGCTCAAGGCTAGCACTCTAACACCTAAGCCAAAGCTCCACTTCTAGCTTTTTAGGTAGTTTTTAATGGAGATAAGAGTCTCACAGACATTCCTGCCTGGGCTGGCTTTGAACCACATCCTTAGAACTCAACCTCCTCATTGTTAGGATTATAGGCATGAGCCAGCAGCCCAGCTGATGACAAGTATTTCTAAATCA